GCAAGGTTGTGTCATCTGCATAATGTAGGTTGTTGATGAGACTTCCTCCAATCCTGATGCCACATTCCTCCTCATAAAGCCCTGCTTCCTAAATGATCTTTTCTGCATATAGAGTGACAAGGTATGGAGACAGGATGCATCTGACACACTCCTTTCCTGATTTTAAACCATTCCATATTTCCTTGCTATGTTCTGGTTCAAGTATAGGTTTCACATAAGCACAATCAAGTGTTTTAGGATTCCCGTTTTCCTCAAAGTCAGCCACAACTTTTGATTCACACAGTCAAATGCCTTTGCATAGTCAATGAAACACAGATAGATATTCCTCTGGTACTCTTTACTTTCTGCCAAGATCTATCTGATATTGGCAATAATGTCTCTAGTCCCATGACCTTTTCTAAACCCAACTTGTAGTTCTCAGTCATTTCTGGATAATCTGCAACAGGATTTTGCTAGTCTGTGATATTAGTGATATTGTTCAATAATTTCCACACTCTGTTGGGTCACCTTTTTTTGGAATGTGAATAAACATTAATCTCTTCCAGTTAGTTGGCTAAGCTGTTGTCCTTCAGCTTTCTTGGCACAACTTGGTGAGCACAGTTATATGTTTGTTGAAATACATCAATTGACACTGGATCAATTCCTGGGGCTTTATGTTTTGCCAAGTTCTTGAAATTTTTTTAAAAACTATTCTATGTTGGTGGATATATTAGTTTTCACCCTTTTTTGCTATCTATGATGAATAAAGCCTCAATAAAATTTGGTATGCAAATATCTGTCTGAGTCTTTGCTTTCAAATCTTGAGTATACAAGTAGGAAGCTTCAATCTATTGTTCTTAGGATCACTGTGAGTCATTGCCAATTTTATTTCATTTATCAACAAACAATAAAAACAACATGGTAATTTTGTGTTTAACTTTTTGAGGAATCACCAAATCTTTCCTTAGATGCTATGCCATTTTACTATCCCACCAGCAGTGAATGAATATTAGCTTTTATATGTTATCACTGACATTTATTTAGCATTTTCAAGAGCAGGACATTGTGTTAAATTGTCTACATGGATTAGCTCAATATGCCTTTATAACCAGTGTGCATTCTTAACCCGGGGCTGCAATGGTCAAATTCAACTAGATGCACATAAAAGCAAAAGACAGGATAACTGAAAGTGTCAAATGCAACAATGTGTTTACAAACATTCTATATATGTATGTGTTGTATAATGTTATTTAATGTTAATAGTTTTGGAATGATTGCTGCTAAAATATCTGTGTAGTGGAAAAAAATTGCACAAAATTTTTGAGCTTAGCCCTATCTTCAAGCATGCAATTTTTTTCCATGCAGATTCTGTTATGTCTGGGGCTCAGGCTTTGCAACAAATGCTAATCAGGCAGTCAAGATTATTCTAGTCTGCTCTACTAATGCTCTACAAGGGTCACTTGCTAGCAGGAAGGTCTATGCTTTCCTAAACTTACACATTTGAAGGCATATTTTGATAGAAAGATGCCTATTTGTGCCCACTATGATTTTTGGTGACAAAGCAGTCACTGCACATAGACTCACCCCACCTGACTTTCCTCCTATGAGCTCGAAATTGAAATAGGAAATAAGATATAATTAATGAAAAATGGTTATTCAAAATGCGTGACCCTGGAGGACATTATGCTGAGTGAAGTATCGCAGTCACAAAAGGATAAATACTGCATAGTGCCACTTGCAAAACAGGACTGACATCAGGGTTGGGGGGAGACTTAGAAAGATAGGCTAAATACTGTATACAGCATTGAAACAGATGAGGGAGAAAACTGTTTAAAAGGGATATGTGATTAGGTATTTTTGTCAAGATGGGAGTCCAGAGCAAAGGCTGCATAGTGGAGTGAACCTGGGAGGAAGAATGAATGGAAATCCAATGTCTTTGTAAATTTTCACTGAAATTAATAATAAAAAAAATTTAAAAAAACTTAATCTTAAGGGAGGCTATTACAGAATATTTCATTGTTAAAAATCTTGTTAACTTGTTGGGGTCAACCAATATTTAGTTGAGCTTTAAAATTGTGTAGTTTATTAAAATCACATTAAAAGCTTGTTTTTGTTGTTAAAAAAATCGTTCGTGAAAAATGGACTCACAATAGCTAAATTGCTTCATTTGACCTCTAATCATGTGTAAATAGTTTTAAAAACTGATAAAATGTACAAGAAGATGTTGTCTTTGTAGGATTTCAGTACAACCCAGCATATTAGGTCCCATTTTTTTTTTTTGCTAATGTTTTCACAATTTGAAGTGAACTTTAAAAGTAGCATCAACAAAGTCAATCTTTACCCCAAGATTGCTAATGCATCAAAATTTATTTCTTGGGGAAACAATGAGTCATCCTCCTTTCCCGAATAGGAATGCCTGGTGGGCCTGTGACAAACCACACAACAGTATGCACACTTATGTTTGCTACGGAGAAAGTGGACTGCAAAGTCAGGCAAAGGGGATATAAATCAAGACATTTATCTAACAAAAAAAATGGTATCATTCAAGTAGCTTTTTTCTTTGAGTTTTTTCCTAAAGAAAATCTTTGGTTAAATAATTGTAAAAACATATTTATTCTCTAAGTCTTTAAACAGGATTATAAATAAGGACAGTTAGTATTGGTCTAATACAGAAAAAGAATATCTAGAATAGTAGGTATCAGATGTTAGTCACACTGGGAATTGCTTCTATTATTTATGTTGGTGCTGACCTCCAACATTTGTTCAGATCTTTTAAACTCTATCACTGTGGCTTTGCTAAGGCTGCTGTTGGCCCTCTGTAAATCTCCTCTGTACCAAACCACACAGAACCTTTAGTTTATTAATTTTATTTCATTTTTAATTTTTTTGAGGAAATGTGTACTTTATTTAATATTAACAGATTCTTTTTTTAATTTCCATTCATTCATTGTTACACATTTTCCTCCCTGTCCTCCCCTCGCAGCTATTTTTTTAAAATATTTTCATTGTTATACAGTACCATCACCACCCCAGACCACTTTATTATGCAACTCTTGTTCTGTACTCTTGTCCTGCCAATAATACCTAATCATATGTTCCTTTTATACAGTTCTCTCCCCTGTCTGTTTCAAAGCTGTTTACATTATTATCTCCTCTTAGTTTCCCAACAAGGAGGTATCACTTCACACCCACTCAGATGGTTGTCAACAGGAAAGCTAAACATTTATGGGGGACATGCAAAAACCTCAAGTGTGTGGTGGAATATAAAATGGAGCAGCCTCTCTCTATAGGGAGGGAAAAAAAATGTTTGGTATTTCCTCAAAAATCAAAACAGAATAATTCCATTCTCCATTATTTAGGGTATATACCTGGAAGTAGGAATTCAATCAAATACCTGTACTACAGCATTTTCCACTGTAGCTTAGAATTGAAAGCAATACATTTCCATCAACAGATTCATGAATAAACAAAACTTGGTAAAAGAATATTACCAATTTTAATCATAGAATAAGTGATATTGCTGTAAATGGCTTAAATGTTCTATTTCTTATGAATATTAATAACAAAATTGATATTTATGTATTGGAATTAGATACATTATTGGCAAGTAAACAAACTTTTCCCCTCCTTTTCCTTCAAATACCACATTCTCAAAATTATGACTAAAGTTTCACAAATATTAATTACGATGATACAGAAGGTAAAAAACTAGAATATTTGATAAAATCAATGATTGTACCAACACTGAAAACAACAGTGCACCTACAGCATGTGCAGACAAAATCATGTTATTCTAAGTGTCACTGCAACTGTGACAGCTTCAAAATGTAAATGAGTGGTTTCAGCTTTGTAGCTCTACATATACTGGAATTACCAAAAAAAGTTTTTATTGTTGTAACTACAAAGATATTTTACTCAAAATAACAAATTTCTGCTGAAAACTCATGTTCATTTTGGTGTCACCCTCTGACAATGTCACCATCAGCACCACCCCCTCACTCCTCGCTCTCCCTCATGATACCACTGCTACCGTCTGTGTTGTCACAATCATGATACAAGGGTAACTCATGCTTATAGTCATCAAGTGTCCCACTTGATATTAGTACCTTTGTCACATTGCCGCAAGCCCCAATCCCCTATGTCAAGGCGAATTCTGTCAAAAAAAAAAAAAAAAAAGAGGAATATCTTTCTTTGAACATTGTCATTGCCCTGAGGAAGGACAAAGGGCAGCGCCTGCAGAATGCAGTCCCAGTGCAGCCAGCCGGTGTTCAGACACGCAGCTGTCAAGGAGGAGACCCACACTGATAGCTTCAGCTGCTGCCTTAACAGTTTATGACAAGTGTGTCTGTCTCACAAGTTTAAAAATCTTCCTAAAAGACAAAGGGGAACCAGGCTGTCCCCTAATTCCTGGGCAGGCACAGCCCGCTGATATCCAGCGCCAAGGAGGCGGTAATGTGTCCAACATGGGAAATAGGAATAGGTGCCATAGGTTGCAGTCTGAGCAATTCTTTGAAACCCTGCAGGCTTCCCTCCCCCAGCAGCAGGTTGACCTGCCCTCAATAAAGTAAGTTTGTTTCATTAAGTTTATTGTCAAACCAAAGTTCCCACCGCAGTATCTTTGCAAACATCAGTCAATGTCCAGATCGTTTTTGAGAAAGCAGCACAGTCGGCTGAGTTCCTCCCAGATCCGGTGCAAGCGCCTCGCCCTTCCCCCTGTTCCTGAGTCCAGGCCGCTGAGTCACTCGGCCCAGCCAGGCTTCCGGCGCCTGCCGCCAGGATCTCTGCTTCCCGCGAGGTCAAAGCTGAGGGCTCTGATGAAGTTCACCTGTTCCCAGCGATCCTGGCCGCCGCCCAGGAGACCACCGAAGTGGGCCCGCTCCTGATAGCCTCTCTCCTAACGCCACCGCCGGCCAGTCCAACGACTCATTCCGGCTCCCTGAGGGCTGAATTCCAGACCCAGCCACGCACCGGATGCCTGGTGGTCAGGCCACGTAGATCAGACAGGTCTCCACGTGCGGCCATCACTCGGGGAGGGGGATACTGGGAACCCAGTTGTTAACGTTGCGGCACTCTTCGCAAAACAGACTGAGCTTCTCCAATGCAGGATCTTTCCATGCGTCCTCACTGGGGTTCTACGGGGAAAGGACACGGGAGAGTGAGCCTGGCTGTTGCTGAACACCAGCGGAACTCAGCGCCGGGGAGGCGGGCGCTCACCGAGATAAGGATGCAGTGCAGGTCGCCGGGCGCGCTGGCCTGGTCACCCACGATGGTCGCCAGCCGCTGCACGTCAGCAACACGCACGATGTCGATGTCGTTCCCGCAGCAAAACGCCTGGATGAGAGTGAAGTGGATCTGCAGCGCAATGTCGCCCTCGTCCTCCTCATCAGCGGCCAGTACGCAGAACATGACGTTGTCCGGATTCCTGAGCAAACCAAGGCACAATTAGGGTGCGCATGGTCGGCCTCTCCAGCACCCTGCTGCCCAGGACGGACCCTGTACTCACATGTTCAGAACCTTCGCAGACTCGTAGACGCCCACTGTCAGGCAGCCCTGGCGCAGCGCAGAAAGCAGCAGCTCCTGCAGCGCCTTCCCGGCTTTCTGCATCCTGTGGGCGAGAAGGCGGTGAGCACCCAGACCCAGTACCCAAACTCACAGGTCGCCAGCAGCCATGTGGCAGCACCCCACCCAGTTCCCCGGGCTGCTCAGAGCTCGAAAGGACCGTCTCCCCAAGCCAACTCACCTGGCTTTGCTTTCTGGGACTGTATCCAGGCCTCGGACTTCCTCCAGAGTCATGGTTCGATCCTAGGGCAGCAAGGTATCTGCCGAAGAAAGAAACAAGTGAGCAGGTAGCAGAGCCACAGGGACCTGACAGCTACCAAATAACTGCGCAGAAAGCCACCGACTGCTCTTCCGGACGCTGCACGCTCTTATATAGCCGCGGAGGCCAAGGGTCCACCAGCTGGCGCGAGGCTGTGTGCCGATTGGCCGGCGCGGGCTTTCTGATGCAAATGAGGCGGCAGGGGCGCCAGGCTCGTGCCAGAAGGCCACGTGGGAGGGGCGTGGGGTATTAACAATGTCTCAAATCTGCGGCTTTTGTCTGGGTGTTACCCGGCTGACTGCAGCCTGCAGATTTCATCTTGCCTTTATTATTTTTTTTTAAGTCCTTGAAAGGAAACAGAAGAGCTTTTAAAAAGACGTCTTTGTTGATGTGATCCTACTACTTGTTTTTATTCCTATTTTTTCTTTCCTTTTGATTGGAAGACCATTGCCTTTAAACTAGAAATTAGACTACAATCATGCAGCACTACTTTTCAGCTTGTAGATAGATCCTTTGTAGTTCAACCTAGCTGCACCCTTAGACGTCTATGCTGCAATGCATATTTAAAACCCAAGGGGGCGTAGCAGAAAGGGTCAAACAACCTTCTGCTCCTGCAGTGCTGCCCTGCTGGGCGTTGGGGCCACAGAGCAGATTGTGGACGACACACGCGGCTCATTTGCATTTCTATGAAAGGCGCACAATAGAGGAGGTCTGTCGTGTGGCCGCTTGGAGCTCTGACAATGGATGCTTTCTCTTCATAGCAGCACTGTCCACCTGCTGCCCAGTGGGGTTGGGCAAGCTTTACAGCTTATTGGGGCGGGGGGCGTGTCACCAAGCCATTTGGGCTCAGGTCCTGACCTGCTCCTCTTCACGCTGATTCTGGGCTCATCAGCACAGTCAGCTCGCTTCCCAGTTCCCCCTATCTTCGGATTTCCACCCTACTTCCTACTTCCTTTCCCTCAGGTTTCCTCCCATCTTTGAAACTTCCTCCCTACCTCCCGGATTCCTTCTCTTCCTCTGTGCTACTTCGCCTACATTTTACTTCCTCCCTACCTCAGGCTTCCTGCCCTACCTCTGACTTCCTCCCCTACATCCCAGTTTTCTCCCTACTTTGGACTTCCTCTTCTACTTCCAGGCTTCCTCTCCCACGTCCTCCCTTACCTCCACCTTCCTCCCCAACCTCGGACTACTTCCTCCCAACCTTCGAGTTTCTTCCCCTACATCATACTTCCTCCACTACCTTGGATTTCCTCTCCAAACTCCAGGTTTCCTGCCTTACCTCGAACTTCGTGCTTTCACTTCACACATCCTCCCTATCTCAGAATTCCTCCCTTTCCTCCGATTCCCTAACCCTACCTCCAGACTTCCTCCCTACCTCGGAACTTCTCCCCTATCTCCGATCTTCCTCCCATACTTCTGGACTTCCTCCCCATCCTCCTGACTTCCCGAGGTCCGGAGGAAGTCCGATATAGGGGAGGAAGCCTAGAGGAGGTGGTGGTGGTGGTGTGTACCATTGAGTCAGAACCGGCTCACAGTGGACCCTCTGAAGGGTTTTCAGAAGCTCAGGAGATTGCCCATCATATCCGCAGAGCAGCTGGTAGATTTGAACAATGTGCCTTCAGGGTTGCTGTGCAGCTTCTTGCCACTAGGCCACCAAGGGTCTCTTCCACTCAAACCTCTAGACTTCCTCCCTACCCTCCTGACTTCCTCCTTACCTCCTGCTTCTTCCTCTACTTCGGACTTCATCCCATGCTGCCAGGGTTCCTCCCTACCTCCAGGTTTCCTCCCCTACCTCAGACTTCTCCCCTACCTCGGACTTCCTCCTCAACCTCCTGGCTTCCTCCCTACCTCAGATTTCCTCCTCTATTTCTGAGCTTCCTCTCCTACCTCGGCGTTCCTCCCTAACTCAGACTTCCTCCCTTGGACTTCTTCCCCTACCTCCGGGCTTCCTCCCTATCTCAGCTTTCCTCTTTACCTCAGAGTTCATCCCCTACCTCTCAGCTTCCTCTCTATTACCTCTTGTACCTTCCTACTTCTTCCCCTTTTCTCCTAGCTTCATCCCTACATCTGAACTTCCTCTCCTACTTCAAACTCCTCCCTTAAGTGAGACTTCTGCCTCTTCCTCTGAGTTTCCTGTCCTACCTTTGGCCTTCCTCTCCTACATCAGACTTCCTCCACACCTCCAGGCTTCCTTCCCTACCTCCAGGCTTCCTTCCCTACCTCAGTATTTCTCCCCTACTTCCAAATTCCTCCCTACCTCCAGGCTTCCTCCCTTACCTCTAAGCTTCCTTACCTCCCAGCTTTGTCCCCTACCTCCAGGATTCCTCCCCTACCTCCAACTTCTTTTCTACCTCTGAGATCCACTCCTACTTCTGAGGTTCCTTTCCTACCTTTGGGCTTCTCCCTACCTCTGACTTCTTCCCTACCTCGGACCTCCTCCCTACCTCTGGGATGCCACTGTACCTCTGGCTTCCTCCCCTACTTCAGGGCTTCCTTCCTACCTCAGGCTTCCTCAACTACCTCACAATCCCTTCCCTACCCAGACTTCCTCTCCTACCTTTACTTCTACATCTGGGCTTTGTCCCCTGCATCTGGGCTTCCTCCCTTCCTCAAGCCTTCCTCCATCACATTTCCTCCCTACCTTGGACTTCCTCCCCTACCCCTGGGCTTCTGCCCTACTTCTGGACATCCTGCCCTACCTTTGAGCTTCCTCCATACCTCCAAGATTCTGACTAACCTCAGACTTCCTCCCCTATCTCAGGGCTTCCTAACTTTGGGTTTCCTCCCCTACCTTGGACTTCCTCTCTACCTCCAGACTTCCTCCCCTACCTCTGGAATTCCTCCCTACTTCAAATGTCCTCCTTACCTTGACTTCCTCCCCTACCTTCTGGCTTCTTCCCCTACTTCAGACTTCCTCCCCCAACTTTGGGCTTCCACCCTACCTCCAGGCTTCATCTCTACCTTTAACTTCTAGCTATGTTGTTGTTAGGTATGGTTGAGTCAAGTATGACTTACAGTGACTTATAGTGATCTGTTAATCTGAACCATGTGCCATCCTAACCCTCTCTGACACTCTTGGGCCTGTTGCTGCAGTCACTATGTTAGTCCACATAGTTGGAATCTTCCTCTCCTTTGTTGTCCCTTCACCTTTCCAGGTATGATGTCCTTCTCCAAGGAATAAACTAGCTGGTGTTCTAATGCTACAATCCCAAAAGTACATGTTTATAATCTATCAGCTGCTCATCAGAAAAAAGATGAGCAATCTTCTCCCATTCAATTTGTTGTTGTTAGGTGAGTCAAGTCAAGTACAATTCATAGCAACCCTATGAAAATGGATATAAACCATGTTCTATCCTGTGCTATCCTCACACTTCCTGATATATATTAGAACCTGTTGCAGCAGTAACTGTGTCAATCCACCTTTTTGAGGGTCTTCCTTTTCTTCCTTGACCCTCCACCTTTCCAAGCACCATTTCCTTACTCCAAAGAATATGTCCTCCTAACAACATGCCCAAAGTATTTGAGATGAAGCCTTATCATCCTTGCCTCCAAAAAAACATTATGGCTAGACCCTCTCCAAGACATATTTGTTTGTACTTTTGGCTGTTTTGGCATGTTAAGCACTCTTCTCCAACACCACAGCTCCAAGGCAACAATTCTTCTGTCATCCTTACTCATTGTCCAGCTCTCAGATGCACTGCAAGTGATCAGAAAGATCATGGGAAAGACTGACATCATTACTCCTTAATAACTTGAAGATGTCCCTAACAGCAGACTTCCCAGTGCAATATGTCTCCTATTTCCTTACGGTTGGTACCAAGGATGTTATTTGTGGATCCAAGTAAGACGAAGTTGTTTATAGTTCAGTTTTTTTCTCCATTCATCATAATGTTGCCTATAGATCCACTGGTAAGAACCTTTGTTTTCTTGACATTAAGATGCACTCCATATTGAAGGGTTCATTCCTTGATCTTCTGCAACAAGTATTTCAAGTCCTCACTTTCAGCAAGCAAGGTTGTGTCATCTGCATAATGCAGGTTATTGGTGAGTCTCCCTCTAATCCTGATGCCACATTCCTCTTCATAGAGTGCAGCTTCTTGACCCATTTGCTCAGCATACAGATTACATAGAAATGAAAAGAGAATATAATCCTGATGCACTCCCTTCTTAATTGTAAACCATGAAGTGTTGCCCTTCTCTGTCCATACAACAGCATCCTGGTCTAGGCCTAGGTTTCTCATGAGCACAATAAGTGCTCTGGGATTCCCACTGTTCCCAATTTTAGACATAACTTGTTTTGAGCCACACAGTCAAATATTTTTGCATAGTCAATAAGATACGAATAGACATTCTTCTGGCATTCTTTACTTTCAATTAGAATCCAGCTGACATCAGCAATGATATCCCTGGTGCTACAACCTCTTCTAAATCCTGTTTGAACTACTGGCAGTTCCTATATATGAACTATTCTAGCCATTTATGAATGCTCTTCAGCAGTATCTTGCTTACATGTGATATTAATGATACTGTTCAATGCCATTTACTGTCTCTGAAAACCCACTGGAAGGTCAAGTGTCTGCCACACACAACAACAGCCTCTGATCAGGCACCCAGATCAGAGTCAGCCAGCAGGGCCCTAAGAAGCTCAGATGAACCGCACATTCTGAAACCACCAGGTTAGCTGATTAACTCTCATCCTAGTTGAAGACATGGGAAAAGAAACTGATGGGTTCAAGAACCCTGTTTTCTTGTGTTATTTGAATTGTGAACAATTATTTAAATATGCATGCATATATACCAGAGCAGGAACCCAAGACTCAGTGACAGAGACTAAAGTGCTAGGTCAAGAGTTGTGACCATCACCCTCTCTTCTGGAAAGATGTACAGCCTAGAAAACTCTAAGGGACAAATTTCTTCTGTCCTATAAAGTCACTAATGTCAAAACCTACTCTAGGGCAGTGAGCTTGGTTTGGGT